CGGGGGAGCACCCGGGCCAGGGGCTCGGGGACAGTGACGGGGGAGCCGGGCAGGGAGGGGGAGGCGCTTCGTCATAGGGGCCGGGGGCCGTGCAGCCCCGCGACCTCGGGCGTGAGCAGGGGGTTGTGGGTGCCCTTGGTCAGCATCCAGTCATTGAGGAAGGCCTGGGTGGCTTTGCGGTGTGCCAGGCGGTGCGTGATGGAGAACCCGGCATTACCCTCCAGCTGGGACAGGATCACCAGCACCTGCCTGTGGAGAAGGAGGGGCTCAGGGCAGTGGCCTCTGCCCTGGCAGTCCTGCCCTCTGCCCTAACAATCCCACCCTCTGCCCCAGGAATCCCACTCCTGTCCTGGGAATCCCACCTCTGCCCTGGCAATTCCACTCCTGCCCCAGTAATCTCACCCCTGCCCCAGCAATCCCACCTCTGCCCCGGGAATCCCATCCCTGCCCCGGCAGTTCCACCTCTGCCCACACCTCCCTCCCAGGCTCTCCCCCACTGCCAGCCCCCTGCCAGCCCCCGGGGCAGCCCCCTGACCCGCCCCTGCCTACCCCGGACCTGTGCAGGGGGGGGACGCTGTCCTGTGTCTTGAGGCTGCCACGTGTGGACACCACGTTGAAGCTGTCGGTGCAGTCACACTGGACGTGCAGGTAGGACTTGGGGTGCCGGTTCTCCACCACCACGATGAGCCCTGCCCAGCCATGTGTCAGGTAGTAGCAGGTCATCCCTTCACGGCCCTGGGGAGGACAGCAGGGGAAAGGGATGAAGCCTCCAGGCACTCCTGCCCCCAAATCGAAACCCCTGGACTGGCATCTTCCAGTCCAGCCAAGGGCTGCCCATCTGCTGGGCTGCCCCACGTTGCCCCAGGGGGCAAGGGGGGTGGGCACCCCTGAGGTGGCAACCAGAACTGGCACAACCGTGCCAGACTGAGGACACTGCAGAGAAGGGTCCAGGCTCCCACTGGCAGCATCACCCCACTCCCCACAGGGGCCCAGACCCCGCCCTGTGCCCCCCACCCACCTCGTGGCGCTCGCCCTTGTTCTCGGTCAGCAGGATGATGGCATCTGCCAGCGTGGTGGGCTGTGCCTCCACCTGCTCCACCATCACCAGGCGGGAGCTGTAGATGGCCAGGATGTAGCTGGAATAATCAGTGGCTGGTCGGCTGCTGGTGGGACTGGAAGCTGTGGAGACACCCGGAGGAAGGGGCGATCAGGGAGATTGTCACCAAGCCCACAGTCCCCGGGAGCAGGGTGCTGCTGGGCTGCTGCACGTGCAGGCAACCTCCACCTCCAGCAAGGTCCCCACGGTGAGGATCAAGGGCTTTGCCACCTCTGCCTCCCCCAGCTGCCCTCCAGCCCCTCACCCTGGGTGGCAGGACTGGCCAGGGCAGTGCTCCAGTGGTTGAAGGCACAGCACACCACGGCGTACTCGCCCGGCTCCAGCATCACGTCGCAGTTGACGAACTTCTTGACGGCTCGTTTGCTGTGGGCCATGAGCCGGCCCAGGCTCAGCTTGTTCCCGCTGGTGAAGGTGGCCCGGAAAACCATGATGCACAGATCCAGCAGGTGACTGTCCACCGTGTCTGACCGCCTGCACCAGAGGGAAGGGTCACATGTCACCCAGGCCACAGTAGGTTGGCATGTCCAAGGGAAGAGCCATCATCCCACTGCCCCAAAAATCCAGCCCCAGCAACCAGCTCATGTTCAGGGCTTGGGTTCCAGCTAAAACACGAGCAGTTCCAAAGAGCTGGATGAAGTGCACAGTGATGGAAGCCCATCTCTGGGCTCTGTGACCCTGCAGGATGCCATGTGGCAAGAGGGTGATGTGTTTGGGATTACCCCAGAGCCCAGAGAATCATGGAATCATTAAGGTTGGAAAAGCCCTCTGAGATCATTGAGTCCAACCGTTCCCTTGGCACTGCCAAGGCCACCACTAAACCATGTCCCCAAGTGCCACATCCACATGGCTTTTAAACCCCTCCAGGGATGGGGACTCCACCACTGCCCTGGGCCACCTGTGTCAACGCCTGACCATCCTTTCTGTGAAGAAATTTTCCCAATATCCATCTAAACCTCCCCTGGCACAACTCGAGGCTGTTTCCTCTTGTCCTGTCCCTTGTTCCCTGGGAGCAGAGCCCGACCCCCCCGGCTCCCACCTCCTGTCAGGGAGTTGCAGAGAACGAAAAGGTCCCCCCAAGCCTCCTTTTCTCCGGGCTGAGCCCCCCCAGCTCACCTGCTGCCCTCCTGGAAGAGGGCAAACTCCAGGGCTGCACGTTCCAACACTGTCAGCGACGTCACTGTCACCGGCCCGTTGGCCTTGTTGGGGAACATGCCCTGCACACGCACCTCATGCCAGTCTGAATGGAGTTTGCAGATATCCACGGAGTCAAAATACCTGTGGGAAGCTGGGCTCAGCCCTGGGGGAGTACATGGCTCTGTCCCCACACCCCCAGGGGTACACTGCTCTGTCCTCACACCCCAGCATGCTGCAGGTCCCCCACATCCCTTGGGAATTCCCGTTCCTCCCTGACCCAGTTGGCCCTGTGTCCCATTTTCTGTCCCTGCCCAGCTGCCCACCCCACAGCCTGTGCCTACTTGATGAAGTCGCTGTACTCCATCCAGAACACGCCCTCACTGCTGCCATGGGGCATCAGGTCGTGGCGCAGGGGTGCCGGCCAGTGCGGCCACTCGTCCGACCAGCTGCCGTTCCAGGAGAAGCGGCCCCAGGGATTCCGGAGCCGCAGTAACCTGGGAAAAGGGGGGAAACGGTGTTAGACACCCAGGAGGAATGGGAGACCCAGCCAGCCCCACGCAGAGGGCAGCCCACCACTTCTGCCCCTGCCTCCCAACCTAATTTGTCACCCACATTGTTGCCCCAGAAGTCCCTGTCCTGCTGCTCTCTCTGTCCTTCCCTGCCCAAAGGGGTCAGCCAGATGCTGTGGGGATGGGGTTCTGCAAGGAAGTGGCTGAAAATGGGGCTTCCTGGCTATAGGGGTAGCTCCTGTTTCTATCTCTGCTCCCTCCAAAGGTGAGCAGGATGCTCTGACCACCTCGCTGAGCTGAGCACTCAACACTCTGTGTCTTGTGAGACCAGGTGAACCATTCTACACCTGGATGTGGAGCCAGCACCAGACAAGGACAGCTCATATGACAACAGAATCTTGTGACACCCTGGAATGGGACACTGAAGAGTCCCCAGGGTCTTGTCCAGCATGCCCTGAGTGCCCAGGGTTTGTGCTGGGGCTGCGGGCAGGGGCAGCTGTGCTCACCTGAAGCCCTGGACGTCCCTCACGTCCAGGATGGAGTAGGCGTGCCGGGGCCGCAGCCCCATGCTCTCGTAGGCCACGTCGTCCACCTTCATGTTGCCTCCGCCACAGGACGCGCCCATGAGGAACCTGCACGGGCACAGCAAACCCTGGGTGTCCTGCCGGGCCTGGCACGGGGGGAAGCTCGTCCTCACCGCTCCAGGCACAGGACAGCTTCCCCCCAGGAAGCTCCTGGATGCTCCCTCTTTGCAACAACACTGTAAACTCCCCAGGCAGTGCCCAGCCCCACTGGCCAGAGCTCCCTCCAGCTGCCCCGTGCACACCGAGCCCGGGTTGTGCTGAGCTGCTCTGCACAGTGGAGCTTTGCCCAAACCTCACCATGTTTCTGCCAGGTCCCAGGGTCTTGTCTGTCTCTGCTGCCTGGCAGAAAGCCACAGAGAAAGGCAGGTGGTCTGTCTGGTTAGGGGTGAGGACAGACTGCTTGGGGCAGGAGGTCTGCACCAGTCAGGTTTTGGGGGGACACCACATGCTGGGAGTTACCCACCTCCCATTTAGCCCCATACCTCGGCCTTGAACCAACCCAACTGCCCTCCTGCCAGAGTGATGAGCAGGAGCTCTCTGCTTTGGCTCTGTTCCCTCTAGACTGGCCATGTCCAGCAAAGATGTGTAGGAAACACATGCAGGGTCACACACTTCTCAACACAAAAACAATCAAAGCAAAGCAAGCAGGCTCGGTGCCATTTCCAGACTCCCGCAGGAGAGCAGTGCATGGGGATGTTCCCCAGGATCTTCATTTCATATGAGAATTACTCACAGGAGAGCTTCAAGGGGGAGCTCCACCAATGTTCCAGATGAGTGGTGGGCTCCACCCCAGGTAATGCAGTAGCCCCTCTCCTCTGAGCCCCTACAGACAAGAGCAGCCCCCCTCTCCCCCCTCTCCGAGTGTCCATGCTCCTGCCACAGCACCCTCCTGCCTCTTCTTACCCAGCCTCCTTAGAACTCAGCATTTTGGCCCAGATGAGGTCAGTGTCAATGGGCTCCTCACGAGGGTTAGTGGAGCTGACCTGCAGCATCAGGCTCTCGCAGGGGGCCCCTGTGAGCGTGGCCAGGCCCTCGATGGCACGCCCGGCCTGGAGGGCGAAGTACGAACCGTGCAGCTTGGCCAGCGCCTTCTCGATGAGGGCGACCCACAGCTGCTTCCTCTGGGCCTGTGAGACAGGGAGGGACACATCACACCCCGGGCAGGACCTAGGAAAGCCCCTCACCCCTGCCAGCCCTCCCACTGCCTCAGAAGACAGAGAGGCAGGAGCAGCAAGGCCAAGCCACCAGGAGCTTGTCACCTTGGCCAACAGTGAGCCTGTTCACTCTCTGCTCGGTGTTTTGTCTGCACAGCTCAATTCCCCTTGGGAAAAAGTCCTGGAGTGCACATCCAAGAGGCCTGGATGCTGACAGAGCTGCAGCCAAGGGTGGCCAGCAGTCAGGCTGGCAGGGTGGGTGCTCACGGCCCTTCCATCTGCCTCAACCTGGATTTGAAACAGTTTAATAATGGAAGAGGACACCAAGGCTGCCAGAGCTCCAGGAGTGTTTGGACAATGCTCTCAGGCACATGGTGGGACTGCTGGGGTGTCCTGTGCAGGGCCAGGAGTTGGACTCATAATATTTGTGAGTCCCTTCCAACTCAGGAGATTCTATGATTGGAGCACATCTGGAACAGCTGGAACTCTGCTGCAAACCAAAACCAACACCCCTTTGTCAAAGGAGATGTCCCAGAGCACACATGGCTGTGGGACTGATTAGATTTCACCCATGGAACAGGCACTGATTCAAGGACAAGCTCCAAAAACTTGGGAGTGGCAAAGTCCTCTTCTCCAGCACAGGGAGTAATTATAAGCCCTAATTACAAGATGCAAGTTTTTTTCCCAGCAAATGGGGTTTGGTATCCGGTGCTTGGGGGGCAGCAGGGAAAATCACTGGGACATTGTGACTGTGTGTGACTCACAGGTGGCAGCCAAGAGCTGGCAGAGGAAAGGAGGGCAGTGAAGATTTCTTTCCAATGGATAAAGAGAGCTTATAAGTGCTTTTTGCTGGTTTTTGGGTCCCTCACTCAACAAAATCCATTTTGTTTATTTCTGCCTGAGCTGCAGCCAGGGAGCTCAGATAAGAGCTTGATTTTGTTTTATTTTTAAAACTGTTTTTCCTTTTTTAGCCCTCATGTCCAGCTCACACAGCTGAACACTCAGCAGAAAAATCTCGACACGATTCAGATGCCCCTGGAAACAGAGGTAAGGCAAGCCCAGCCCACGTGAAAACCTTCAATCTTTAAAAAAACCCCAAAGCAAACTTGAAATTCATAAGAGAGGAAAGATGGATGGAAAACAAAAGAACCCAAGACAGGTAAATCTTATGGTCAAATAAAGAAATGCATCTGGATCCTCTCTGTCTGGGAGAGGCAGAATGTAGACACAGACTCCTTCTTCCCCTCTCCAAAGTTTCAGGGTCCTCTCCTGACACAATCTACACATGATACAGTTTGGGGCTGCGTGTCAAAAACCAGAGGACTGGGATTTGCAGAACGAATCCAACCCAACAGTCCCTGGCTCCTCCTGACAGTGGCACTTTGTTTTCTTTGGCAGATTTTGCCGCCTGAGTTTCAATAAAGACGTTCTCAGTCTCCTTCATGGACATGATCCCAGCAAGAGCCCCTGGGCCTGGCAGGCAGGGTGGGCACAGCGCGTGCTGACGTCCTGAAGGGGCTGAGGGAGCTCCGTTCACCCGAGCAGATCCCACCCCGGTGTGCCCAGAGCAACCGGGCACTGGGTCGGAACAGGCTGTTCCATGTGCCATCCCCTCCCTCTCCAAGGTCCCTCCCTGGCAAAGCCAAGCTGCCAGACGTCCCCGCAGAGGAAAGAAACAGCTTTCCCTCAGCCCCTCGCAGTGCAAAACACAGGGTAAAATGTTTTCCTTTCCTGTGAAGAATAAGGACAGATTTCCCTGCAAGTGGAAGTGGCTGTGGTGGAGAGAGGAGTGAGGTAAAAGCAACTGTGAATGAAACTTCTCCACTGCAGCCTGGAAAATGCCAGAACAGGTTTAAATAGATGTGTGTTATGGCCTCAAATAGTCCAGCTATCTTGAGAGCACAGCAAAGAGCAGGGTCCTGAGCTGCAAATAGGGTGCAACCAGGCTCAGTACTGGGTCCTGCACTTGGGTCACACCAATCCCACACAGCTCCAGGCTTGGGGCAGGGTGGCTGGAAACTGTCCAGCAGGAAAGAACCTGGGGGTGCTGGTCAGCAGTGGCTGAACATGAGCCCAGGTGTGCCCAGGTGGGCAAGAAGCCAATGGCCCCTGGGCTGTACCAGCCATGGTGTGGCCACAGGACCATGGCAGTGACCATTCCTGTGCTGGCACTGCTGAGGCACCTCCAGCCCTGGGGACAGTTCTGGGCCCCTCAGACAAGGGACACTGAGGGGCTGGAGCGTGTCCGGAGAAGGGAACGGAGCTGGGAAGGGGCTGGAGCAGCAGGAGCAGCTGAGGGAGCTGGGGGGGCTCAGCCTGGAGAAAAGGAG